TTTAGGGTCAGGTCAAAAACTAGCCTCAGGGTTGAAGTTATAAAGAGGCCATTTACGTGTGTGTTGTGCTAAGTGTCAGATGATATTCCATGTTAAACAATGGAGTTTCATATCTTCACTGATTTTTCCTTAAATGTTGCCCCCGTAAAACAGTAAACTCAAACGGAAATGACAGGTTTCGAAAGCAGACTCCACGAGCATTACAGAACTGCAAACCAAATTGCAATCGGTCCATTACTTCTCGAGTTATAGGATTTTATAATAATACACGTATGACCAACTATATGAGAAAATCGTCACGTCTGCAAACGACAAAACAGTCACCGAAAATCAAAGAAAATAGGTCGCGATTGATCCGTATTAATCCGCTATTTCTAAAATACGATTTCCTGCATCAAACTAACAATTGCGGAATCTAGAACGATACATACGCTCCCCATATCTACTTAAAAATCTCTACAACTAAGTCTTTAAAACCTATTTTCTTTAGGACTATTTTTTGACCTCGACGGCAGGCTCTCAACGCACGTCTTTGGATGTCCTCTGTAAGATTGATTGTAATCTTGGACCTTTAATTTGCAATTAATTTCACTGCATTTCATTGATATTGATTTTGTATACTTTACACATACAACGCATCTCTCGAGTGTGCTTTAGGTCACTTGGTGCTAATTATCTCATAAAATAAATCGTTTTGAACTCCTTAAAACAATATTTAATTCGTTCTTTGTTTTGAATACTACTCAGCGCGAATTACCTCATAAAGGCATTTATCAATCATCAAAAGATTTACTAAAAAGGAAAATGTGTTTCTATTCCCTTGAGACCCTGAGAATCCTTCATCTTTTTATATAATTAATTTGTCAAGGGAGTAGTTAGAAGTGATAAAAGGGATCATCGCAATAAGTTCTCAAATGTAAGTGAGTAATACCGTTGCTCATATTTATGTTCGTAGGGCCAGCCTTATGTTTACCTTATTTTAGCAAAGCTAAAAGATTGTTCTTGATAACTTGTACGAGCCGATGGGACAGACAAATGCTAATGTAATCCAATGGGAAAATATGGAAATCTTTGAACTGATTATGAAAAAACGAGGATTGTCGGTTCATAACCCCATATACCAAGGAATAGCTCCACATGTCCCCTTTCAAATCAAAAAAAATTGCATAGATCATCCATTGAGATAAAAAAGATATGACCGCTTTATCCGCCATCTATCTGAATTTTAAACAATTTTCAATAGATTTCAAACTCAAGACCACCGTCACAAAAAGTCGAATATTTAAAGTGAACCGAATCATTTCGTCATACTTTTGTCACAAGATAAACAAAATAAAATATAAAATCTGTACATTTTCCAATAGTGATTGCACTGATAAATCTTGATTTCAATCAACCATCATCCCGATTTTAAATGTACTACCTTTTCACTAGCGCCCTCTGTGGAGTTATCCCGATACTACTATAAAAGTATATACACAAATACTGTAGAATATTACAAAGGTTTAACCTAGAACGTTTACATCCATGGAGGTCGCTTATCTGAGATACCGCCTAAGGATAGAAAATCAAAATATTTTCATTTGAACATGATTTCACAAAGTATCAAGTAAAAAAATATTGGTTTGTTGAAGCTTGTATTCGCGAATGCAACTAACGGGTTCCGGCTACCGGATCAATCTATTCATTTTCATAAAACCCGTCATTTTGAAGTTGAAATAACGAACTGTGAGCAGTGGTCGCATGATTTTTATGTCATCCAAATTCAGTATCTTTAAAGTCCCTGGAGCAATCAACTTTTCCTCTTAGTAAATAGAACACGTCTCAAAGTAAATTCTAATTATGCATTCAACAATATGATAAAAACCTAGGTTGCATTTTTGGTGAAAATTAGGTCAACATTTTCGAAAAAGTATGTTCATTGGTCCATTGCCCCTCGATCAATATCACTTAGGTCTGATTTAACGACAACTATGACACCTGTCGGCTACCGGATTCACCTTCTATTTTATGGAAAACTCATTCAAATATGAATAGTACCTGTCACTGTTCCATTCATATTTAAATGAGTTTGTCATAAAATAGTAGGTTAATCCGGTAGCTGTCAGCCGAAAGTTGCATTCGCGAATACAAGCTTAGTCAGCGACTGGGTTTGACGCGATAGTTTGCAGCTACCGGAGTGCACAGCATGTACTGTTAATTTTTGAACGAGTTGTCTGTAGCCGCCAGCCGAAAGTTGCAACAAATAAGTATATGTGGTATAATAAGTATTTTCAGGAAATACTCACGACAGGCCGAGGAATGACAAGAGTCAAAAATAAGTTATCAACTGGGAAAATAAGATAACGTACGTTACTTTATCGTACGTATCACAAAATTTGACGTGCCTGTTTTGTATTCCCTTATTGCTTTACGTTATGCGGGCTACATTTTTGGGAAAATCTATTGTACATACACTTGCATTCCTGATAAAAGAAATATTCACGCGAACAAAAATATACATGTTCGTTTCTCTTAACTCCGAAGTCCGACAGGATGGATTGATCGTTTACATGGCAGCATCTTGATATCTTATTATAACGATAATATGATAATAAAAGCAATAAATAATGTGACGGACCTGTCTAAGTACATATTAATTTGAAATATATCATTGACATGCCTTGCCATTGGTAATATTTGAATCGTTCAGCGACATTATATACGGTGCGTGTCCAACCCAAACGCTCTTACATGCACGACTGAGCGTTTTATTCACGCAGAAACGCTGCGGAGTGAAATAAAATGGCGGCTAATGAAGATCCCACTATGACCGTAAGTATTGTTTCTCTCGTTTCTCTTACATATCATACGTTATGGTGACATATTATGTACCATTCGATGAACAATACCCTGAGCAAAGATCTTATTTATCCAACTTCTGGTGGTAAACTGTTATTTGCTTGATCAAAGCTCCGTAGTGTAGATCGAATGAATCTGAAGTTGACGAATTTGAATTGACCACAAATTACGAATTAAACTAGTATTTCTATGAAAACGTCAATTTTTCTGTCAAAGTAGTAGATCACAAACTTGTATATTCTCATTTTCTATAATCCCAGTCCAAATCCATGACTTGTTCTCGAGAAATCGCTTGTTTTCCTCGAAACGCTCCGTGGTTAACAGGTTAAGGACACAATTTTAGAAATGCGCTTACCATTTTGTTTTGATATTATTTTCAAAAACGTTTTGTACTTGTTAAGCAAATTGAAACGTCCCAACATTGTGGTGCTAAATGTCCAACTAGCCGACCTAAGCTTACATTAGATGATGTTATGCCTACATGTGTTCTAAAACATAAAACTATTAACAAAAACAAAAAGTTGATATCTGAATTAATCTTTCTTCTTTTGATGACAATGGGTATGATAGATCTTTTCTTTTCCTGAAAAGGAAAGTAAAGCAATTTATTTCCTAAACAGATCTACACTACCGGAGCGTTTCCAGTTCACTGTGTTAATCAGATCGGGGTGTTTCTTGAATATGAGAATGTCATCATTTTTAAGACTGGGTTTTCGGTCATCAAATCACTATTACGATAATGTATGGTGCGTTGAAGCATTGGAATTTGACTAAAATATACGTTGGTGCTCTAATCTTGGCTCAACTAATCACATGTATCGACAAAAGGGGTTTTGACCGGTAGAATGACAAATACGTTTTTGAATTTTGATAACTATACTGCTTCGTACAGCTCTTCCTAATTGCTTCAAACGTCAATAGCCAGTCAAGTACAAAATGTATATCACACCCATCGAATAGTATACTCGAAATAAGTAACTCATACCTCTTATATATTCCCATTATTGGGGAAATCGTCAGACGGCTCATCATTCCCGCCCGCCAGTTTTCCTCCGGAGCGTTTCTTTGTTTAGTTTCAGTAATGAAACGCTCCATCGTGCATGTAGTGGTAAGAGCGTTTGGGTTGGACGCCGTGATTATTAGACACTTGTTTTTGTTGGAAGTGTCATATTCTTAAAAAACGTTTAACTCAAATATAATCCTTAATTGGCAATGCAGCATCGGTACAATAAATCTAAGAGTACACTTAGTGGTACATTTGCCATATAAATCATAGAATCGAGTTTTTTACAATTCTACAATAAAAATAAATAAACCAGAAAAGGGTTGTTAAAAATTCATTTGGATGTCATTTTTGTTAATCAAGAGTTCCTTGTATCCATGTTTACCACATATTTCTTCAATTTATTTATTTGATTCATTGTGACTTCAGTAATGAGAATGGAATTCATAAATTAGCATTAATACGTGAAACAGTTTAGTTACCGGTTATTCAATATATTTTTCCAATAGCAATTACGATACAATACTTACATGTAAAAGCTACAACTCTAAACACGTACATCAATGTCAAGCTTGTCGAAAAAATATGTTCATATTTGATGAACATGGAAATTTAAAACTAATTACCAAAGCTTTACACAAACAAACTCTAATAATGCATTGTGATGGCAAATGTCACGTATGACCGTGAGTAATGTCATTTTGAACAATATATACGTACACCTACACATCAGTACAGATCTGATATTAATCTTATAAAACATTCGAAGAGAGAATATTCCTTAAACAAATCATATAAAAATCATAGAGTGGTGGGTTGTTGAGAAATACGAGCGAAGTCTCAGTCACACAGTTCAACACTGCATTACATGGCTTGCTCCAGTAGGCCATCTGTATGTGACTGTGTGTAATTAAATAGATTACAACATCACGCTTCAATTCTGATGCGCATCTCTAAATTCCATATTAACAAAATAGTAAAAGCGTCATATTGATCCACTTGAATAAGTGTTATTACATACAAAGGTTATATATGCTATTTACAACATTTTGCAACAGTTCGAACTTCTATTTAGCACAAGTTCTCGTCTATTATAGTGCGGGGGAGTAACCGTTACGATGAATGTCGTTTCCGTAACTTCAAATTCATTTTGAATAATATGACAGAAATTGGTCAGTTTAGCATTTCGTTCTGTGTCAAAGTCGATTGGGTAATTGGAAGTGGGGGTATTATCTAATAATACTCTTGTAAATTCTTAATAGCCTCGTATCTGGGCTATTCAGCTAGACACACATCCACAATAACAGTAGAAGCTTTCTAAATTGACGAATATTTCACGTTTTCAAACAGAAACTGATATTTGTGGACTTGAATCTCTATCCAACATTTCATCAGTGGCCGTGACCTATAGGAGGCTGTATTCCGATTTTGAAATATATGTAAAAGCAGATCAAACAAAGTTAAACCATGATGATCAAAACTGTTATATCAGAGAAATGAAAATAAAAACTGACATATTGATTCTACATAAAACTCGATCATGTGACACGTAACACGTCATGTGACTTATCATGTCTACCAAGTGACCTTGATGATCGATATTGAAAGTTTTGGAAATATCTTCTTCTGGGTAGAATACCAAACGCATGAGCAAATCTGGAATGATTGGTTATGACAGTATACAGTCATTTTTAGTCGGATCGCGACTGCTCTTCACTTTAGGTTTACTCGTTCTCCTTATAAGGCTCCTGCTCTTGCTCATCATCTTGCTCTCGCCATTCGGGGCTTTATCAGAGTTTTTTCTATGTGTATGTCCACTCAGTCTACGAATGAGGGAGTTAGATTCGGCATCGTTTAATATTGTCTCCGGAACTGGAATAATATTCATCATTTTAGCCTGGTCCAATAGTTTCTTAAAGATCTCCTTTATGCCATAGTTTTCCTTGGCTGAAATTTCAAACAGAACATTTTCCAGCTGTTCCTTAACAGCCCACTCAACAACATCGTCTTTGTTCACCTGTCTGGCATCGTCCTCTAGGTCAGACTTGTTGCCTACAACAACACATGGGATACTTTCATAGTTATCTCTTTGTTCTTTGATTTGCTCCCGTATTTGTTTTATTTCCTCTAGGGAACCAGCATTGTCCACTGCGTATACTAAGAGAAACGCATGCGCCGTTGACACTGATAATCTTCTCATGGCGGGAAATGTCAAATTCCCAGCTGTGTCTAAAATATCAACTTTTAAGGTTTGTCCTTTGATGTCAAACTCTCGGCAGTAAAGATCCTCGACCGTTTCCTTGTACGTGTCCGAGTATTCAGAGTTCACAAAGCGTGTTATAATTGATGTCTTACCCACTCTACCAGAACCAAGAATAACTAGTCTGTGGCGCGTATTTTCGTCCGCCATTGCCGAAATGCGTTGAAAACTGAGTTCAATTATTGGTGTTAGCACATCCACATTTTCTGTATTGAATAACTAACGCCTGGTGGTTGTTTTTACATTATTAATCAATATATCTATTTTTCATTCACCTTCTGATTAATTATGACTCTTATTTACACTCAATTAATTCCTTCCACAAAAATGTAACTGCTATTTATCCAAGCTTTTAAACTTCCATCCAATAAGTAAAATATGAGATTTTAATATGAGTGATTTCTCTGAAACGTTTACACGGGCGAAGCCATGTAAAACAACACTGCAGGTTTCTCTTGGGAATAGAAGACGTCCAATTAAAATCTCATTCCTACGCGTTTGTGTTTGAAGAATCTCAAGCCTGGGAATATCTAATTCACTTCCTTTGGTGTCTAAATGTAAATTAATATTCTTCCATGAATGAGATCAATGGTGTTTAGCTATATCCCCACTTCACACGATCACCGTATTTCACTTATATAGAAAATCTATAGATATACAACCAGGGAATGTTCAAGTTGAACTAGAATCCAATATTAAAGCTGATCATGCACGCAAATGAGAAGCTTATAGTTCCTTAATTCCAATAAGTTTATCTACCTCATCTGAGGTAACACCTGCCAAAAGTTCTTCGCTGGCAATCGCCAAATCTAATGACCACTTACGGTTGTTCAGAGATCCTTGATTAGAGCCAAGATCATTGATTCTTCTCTTTCTCAAGAGGGTCAACTTGTTTTTATGTTCATTTCGTATCAACCTTAATCAAATGAAGCAATCGGTTTTCTATCTATTTTATGGTCAGATTTATCTTATTTTGAGTATGAATCTTTGATCTTTTTATTGCAGTGCTGATAGAGTCAGAAGTCAAGGTTTTGCCAGCTGAACAGTGATCCCAGTTCTCTGCGTGACGTCAATATTCCATTTTGATGTTGTCAACACCCCAGGCTCTGAAAGTATAAATAAAAAACGTTTACCTCATTAATGGCAACATATTGATCATTGTTAAACTACGTATACTCCGATTGAATCTTATTAATTATTTGATGCACAGGCTATTAATAAAGATAAAAGTACCCTGCCCTGCAGAGGGGTCGAGAAATACTTGCACTCGATCGTTGAGATATTGATAAAAGGATATCATTTCGCGTAAAAGTCTTAGTGTAACAATTCAAAGCATGAGAATAATGCAATGCATTATGCTAACACAACACCAATCACCTCAAAGAAAATCATTTACATTTATTTGTTTAATTTCTAAAATGTGAATCTTAGAATATTTCCTTATATGACCATAACAATATACAGGGTGTTGCATTATAAATGTCCACCTGTCCATCAAGCAAGAGTTCCATTCTAATGAGGAAATTGACAGCAAGGCATTTTCATTTAATTACCTATTTAATTGGACAAGTGGATTTCCCTTTTTTTTCATACATGTTTGAAAATTTCATTCTCAATAAATTGAACAATATGTACTAAAAGATTGTAAAATACTAAACTCATTACCCGTGTAATTACTTAGTGAACACCCTGTATGAAAATGATTAACATGGTTAAAGGCAAAGTGCAAAATATGTAGGTCGCATGACACCATTTTGTAAAAACAGAAAATGAAGGGCAAAAATGTATTTAATTTTCAAAATGATCAATATCCAGGGTATACATCCAGAGTGTTCCATTCGGCATGTGTTGTTTAGATTGTTTTTCTCCATATCTTGAGAGTAGGTAATTTCTAACCTTACTTTTAGCAAGGGAATGGTTTATTTTTAAAAGCCCCTTGTCATCCAGGCAATGGCTCAGTGTTGTATTACCGTTCAAGGAGGATTGGCTCCCAGAGTGCACCACCGATATTCTGTCCCATATATGGGTATGTCGTAATACAAAATTCGAATTCAAACAGCCGCCATTTTGTTCACTTCAACATTTAAATCGTGAATTTTGGTCTTATTTCCAAACGAAAAATTCCAAAACTCACAAGAAATGATCGAGATATTGGTTCGAATCTTTTGAACTGTTTATTTTGAATTTATAGTCGGTTTTAATTTCAGAAAATAACGACATTTCGACGTTTTCATTGTTGGGAAATATCGAGTTTCGATCCTGGGAGCCAATCCTCCTTGATTACCGTTAATGTTGAAAATGACCTTATTGGTACCTGACACTTATAGCTGAGAAATGTCACGCACTGTACTAGTTATATGTTAATAACCGAATCTGTGTAGACACACGTGTTTTTCCTTGTGCAACAATGTGCATAAAAGCATAAAACCATTTGCATTCGTTCTCTTAAAAGAGAGCTTCGTTTATAAACTCTGGGCGCAGGGTAGGCTAATGTGCATTTTTTATCAACATTGTTTATCACCGAGAGCCAATTTTATTTATTGAGTTTCTTGATATGTCATATTCTGACAAGCTGTACCATGACCTTTTATGACAGCAGAGACATATAAAACACAGTAATTATAGTATGAAATTACAGAGGTGTCATATTCTGACAAACCTAAGTGACATCCAATAGAGAGGTGCCTTCCTTAGTGACATCGGAAGATGAATTTAGATGACCTGTAGAAGGAGTATGAAAGATCAATGACCACCTAAACAGTATGTATCGAAAAAAGCAATTACGCACTAGCTCTATCAAGTTTCACAATCGTTATATCTTATCTGTTGAGTCTGCTTAGTGTCCCATGTATACTTTGTATCCTACATGAATGTAACACCTTTTCATCATTCTGATACCCATAGCATCTCTCTCTGTTGCATCTCCAGAAGGATAGAAATGGAAAGGGCGTGGCTTACCACGATGCCTTTTCTTGGATTAAGTAATCACGAGTAATCTCTTTTTATCTCAATGCATGGCATATTGACTAAGAATATATTTCTACTACATTTCCATTATTGAATCAGCTTTATTCACCAGAAAAATGAAAAATGAAAACAAAATTATCATTATCAAAGAAGTAATTCAAAATCTTTTCTCAGGTCTACTTTTTTCTGGTCACCCTGTACTGTGAGCATCTTAGGCTTCGCGTTGAGCTTGTCATATCCCTGAGTTAGCAATGATACATGGTCCCTTACCTCATATATGTTTATATTTACCTCGTCTAATTTTTTAACCTGACTACGCCCTTGCCTTAAACATTAGAGAAGACGCCATGTCTAATGTTGGAATACTTAATTCTGAATTTTCTTTAGAGTTGTCCTAAAGCTACACCGTCCATTAAGATACAAATAAGAAAAAAGCTGTAGTCGGAACTTATTATTCCAGTCAGAAGTATTATTGATTCCAGTCAGAGGCGTGGTTATATTAAGACGCAATTGAGTGTAAAGCATAAGTGCAGGATATGTGGTTACAATTCTGGATTGTGACACTTAATGCACGCGGCACAAGCCATGAGTTAGACAATTAATCCCATCTCTGAGGAACCAGTTCAATCGCTGGATAATAACAGCCCGACGGGGAGGCAAATCTTTCAAATAAATATGTACTGCAGAGTTTGTTGCTTGTTTCTGTTTTTTATTTTCTTATTTTGAATATTTTTGTTAGAAATAGAACAGACGTGAGAAACAATATCAGATATATTTCTTCATGTAACATTAATATAATCAACCGATCTGTAAGGTGAATGCATTTGTGAAAATAATACTCTTAGGTAAATATCAGCAAATTTGAATTTCCAACCCATAGCCGAAAATATGGTTTTCTAGTGTCCATTATATGTGGGTATTCACTTTTGATTTTTTACTCTGCAATACCTCCCTTCTTCATAGGATAGGTATATCCATATCTAATTATAGATATCCCAAAATAAAGTATGCATTCATTCAATTTCGAAAACACAGTACAAATTACAATCAGTACATTTAGTCGATCATTATCACAAGACATGAATAAATATTATGTAGATTTTTGCAAAAGTTAGGCCTATTTTGAAATAAAAATGAATCCTCACTTCATTCACTGTTAGATAAATCCTTTTAGAGGCGCGTAGCAGATATCCAAGCAGCAGTTATTAGTATTTAAAAAAACGAGTGGAAATAACGATAAACAAGATAGGCGTAGCCAGGAGGTGCGATGCGTGCGATCGGCTCCCCCCCCCCCCCCCCCCTTATAAAAATATAACCCTGAGATAGAAGAAAAGAGCTTTAAAATGCTTTTTATTTGCAGCTTCTAGCTCAATTTTGAAGGAAGTTACATCAATTTTTGTCAAATTATTAATTTTTGGCTTGTTTATGGCACAATCGCTGCCTCCCCCCTCCCTTGACTGCAAGCTGGCTAAGTCCCTGAACAATTAACTTAATATCAGAACTCGTTCCTTCACTTACCAAATGACGATCTGCTTCTTCTCTCGCAAATACATGTATGATACTATATGTTAATTATAGTTCATCTTACATTTAAAGCAGTTGATATGAAGCTAGGCTTACGACTATTTACTGAAGATGTGTTGCAGTAAGACGATTTGATGCTAAATTCATGAATAAAGCCGTTCAAATAAGATAATAATACTAATGCAAATATCATACTTTTTATATTTACGCTTAGGTAGACATGGAATGGAAAGGGGGGAATGATGAAGAATAAAACGAAAGTGTGGGACGATAGGAAGAAAATATAAGAAAAGAATGAACATGATGATTGTTAAAAGAAAGGATATGATGAAGAAAAGAAAGGGTGTCACCCTTTATTTTTTTATTTCCTTATTACCTTTATTTTCTTGTACCCTTGCACGATTTGGATTTCACAAGAACACAAAACAAAGAATCTACTTATTGTGGCCTATGAAGAAAATAATCGAATAAGTCACTTTGCTGATTAATCTTTTGGGCTTATTACAGCGCTTATTATTGTTTTGATCCCAGACCTACGAGCTGATATACCTTAGCCTAATATTTAGGTTATAATATCCCCATGTTGTCTCGAAATATCAGATACTTTAAAGGCAGAATCTGATCCATAGGGGGTGACAAAATTACAAGCAACATGTATAATTGACCTACCAATCTATTCCTTACAATATCAAATACAATATCCCCCAAAAGATTCATAATATGTTATAAATTGGTGAAGTTATTAATGATTCAAAGTACAAAAATGAGTGAAAAATGTTTAAATTCTCCCAAATAATAATGGTAACCATTCTTATAGAAAAATAACACATTAAATATTGTAAAAATCTTAAGTTTTCATGGAATAAAGTATGCACTTTTGTGATTTTTAGAAAATAGACATGACAAGGAATGACATGAGCAAAAAATATTCTTAAATTGAAATAATTTTTTGTTTAGCCTGCTCGCTATATCTGATTCTCTCTTTAAGCATGTAATGTTTTCATGACGTAACCGTGACATGGCATCTTGCACGCTGCGGTAAACACTATTACCGAACGATTATTTAGTGAGAAAACTACATGCATTTGTATATGGGCGATTTATACGTATACGTTGCCGTTTCGATTTTATATGCAAGCTTAAAGTCACTAGTATTCGACTACACCGAATAGAGACCAAGACGATCAACAAAACACTAGACTCAATCAGCGCTCCACTTCTCTCGGTCAAATAGTTCTTATGAAGCATACCAAATCACTAAAATTATTTGAATTCATATGAGTTTCGCGTAGCTTTCAAAATTAAGTATCGCGCCTGCTTGGGTTGCCGCCTTCCGTAATTTCTTTTAGCGTTGATTACTAGTTCAATGGGAGAGTATGTTGTAGCTCTCTCGCGCATTGTTGAGTTTCCTTCGGAGAGGCCATCAGAACATAATTAACTCCTATGAACTTAACTCTACACTGGATGGTAATCACTCGGAGACGATTTTCAGTGACGTTATACCCAGGGCTTATTTGATAAATGTATCCTTGGAGTGAACGATTTTTACGTAATATCTACTTTACTTACCGCTTGAAGTGTGTTGATACAGATATACCCGGTATTAATGAACTGGCAGACTAATTCCAAAACATCTGTTGAATATGTTATCAGTTATGTGATCAGATGAAGTTCAATTTCCACTGTGTAATTGAAATAAACGATGGCAAACTGATAATGAGCGATGCCATTAATCCGGGTCGTATCATTGTTCGCCCATACTGCAAATTGAAAAAATCTATCCGTCTATGAATATATGCCAGGAACGGTCATGATGACCGAGTATTCTATTGTTTCTACTTTTCATATAATTTTAATCAATCTATTTGCCAATCAGATTATTGTGGAAAGATTATCCACAGTATTACATCGTCTAATTACCACAGTAATGTACTAACCGTTTCTCTTTGAAATCAGCCGTAATATTTTATAATTAAACAAAGATGAATCATATTCAGCTATTAAAAAGATAATTTCTATTTATCTGATATTGCAATTGTTTTCAACTGGATTCTCATTATTGATATGAATGGAACAGTTGCTCCGATGTAGAAATATGAATTAATATTTGCTTATTTGTCTACCAAATCTGCATATTGATATATGGAATTGATAGTTCCGGATCTGGTGTTTTTGTCTAGATTGTTTATTGTAATTAATTGCTTTTTTCTTACTCACTGTTCTTAATCAGTCGATCACTGATCGATCAACGGTGATATGGTGAAGGTCCGCATGATTGATAGCACGTATATAGCGAATGGTTCTATTGTCTTACTAAGTACAGTTTCCATTTAGTATGACAAATTGTTTTTCTTTTTTCTGTCAGTTGTGCGCGAGAGTCAATATTTGATGTCAGTCGCCCAGATACTGTTTTATAAATTTGATCCCTGTATCGCATGATATTGATGTGAACAAGCAGCTGTAAAATGTGTCCTCATAGAAAGTGTGACCAGTGACACTCAAGTACACAAGGGTAACGTCATCATATGCTCAATGTGAACGTTAGATCCGTGATGCAGAGTTTATTGAATGAGTGTTGAACCTTGGAACCTCACCAGAATTTTTTTCGCACAGCATAATTCATATTTGTGCAATGCTTTTATATTTTTGTAGTTCAGACAGACAACAGAATCGAAGATTTGATACGTAAACGGGATGTATTGTACGCTTTCTTAAACATAAGATACTGAGGAAAAAAGAAAAATCGTACCTTCGAGGTTCCGACATTTTGTTACCGAAACGAACCGTTTCTTTAACCAGCGTAATCGAGTGGATGACCAGTGAATTGTGCTCGTATTTAAGGCCGACATAATCAGACCTATGACTAGCCCAGTGTAGACCCCAAGACGCCCACGGTATAATTAGGTCTTGTTACTTCCGGTGAAATTACAATTTTCATTGCAAGTTACGAAATGGAGGCGACCAGAAGGAAATTGTTCACGGCCAAAAGAATTTTCAGATTGATTTTTAAAGGGCCTTTTTGTCTCCTGTTAAAATTGCGTTGTACCCTACGGTCTGCCATGCGTGTAGACAAGCTATCATGAGCTATTGTTCATGTCTTAATGGATGTTCAATAACCCAATATTTTACAAGGCGTTATATTATACACTCCCCTCCATAAGTTTGGCAACCTTTTTCCCCCATTGAACTACGTGTTAAAGCCTCTTTATCTTTGAAATTTTATTTACTTAACCTGCGATGAAAATACTTACACGATTGATGGAAACGTAATTTGACTTTAATTTCAATACCTCCAAATTTTCTCAATTTTTTTCCTCAATTACAATAGGTCGAAAATTGATGATAAATTTGATGAATTTTTGGAAATCGACATTCTCATGTTAACCAATGGGAAATGGTAGGTTTGCCGTAAGTCATATGACAGAATATCCATCCATCCGAGTCCTTGCAAAAAATACGAGTTAGGCAGGCAATTGAATTTGCTAACTTTATTTAACAAAAAATTGATATGTTTCTTCAGGTTCAACAAAGTTATAGGGCTTTAAAGTCAAAGTTTTTTTTCAAAAAACTTCTCCCATTGAAATAACACAGGAGGCGAAAAATTATTTTCAAAAATGACTTTGAAGCGCTGTAACTTTAATATTCATCAAATAAACTAAACACTTAGTGTTCAAAAAAGTTAGACAATTTAATTTTCTATATAAAATATTTTTTGCTGAATCTTTTACTGAAAAGATATCCTGATTTCTGATTTTCCCCGAACCCTCTATTTCCCATTGGATTACATGGGAATGACGATTTTCAAAAAATCATCAAATTTATCATCAATTTTCGACCTATTGTAATTGAGGAAAAAAAATTAGAAATTTGGAGGTATTGGGAATAAAGTCAAGTTACTTTTCCATCAATATAATAAATTATTTCATCGCCGGTTAAGTAAATAAAAATTCAAAAGTAAAGAGGCTTTAACATGTAGTTCAATGGGGGAAAAAGGTTACCAAACTTATGGAGGGGAGTGTAGTCCATGGTATGACTTCCGAATATGAAGGATCCGTAGAACACTATAGCGCAGCAACATTTGAAGCAATGTTTATGGAGGTGCATATGTCTGGATTCTTTTAAAATACCATTTTCTGAAAAAAAACTTCCGGCTTTCGGGTCGAAAAATGTCTTTCATCACGAGGGGTCAAAAAACGTAAATCTTTAATTTCGATTCGAACTTTTATACATTTTATAAGACACAGACCGTTATTCTAAGCATACGAACAAAAAATAGATTATAATTATGTAAAAATATAAATATTCTATTCTATGTGCTATAATTATGATTTTACTGTAAATGTCGGTGTTTAATTAGTGTAATTACGCAAGTGTGTGTTTCGGATTTTGTTTGATTTTTCAAATATGAGCCAAGTAGATTCAACAAATTGTGTGGAATATTTAGGTAATTTATGATTGGGAACATATAAGTTTTCTTACCATTTAAAACATTTTATTACCAGAATGTTTCCATATAATCGCAAGGGGTCAAACAACAAATTATTGTTCATGTTTTATAAAATTTAATACAATAACATTTAAGTAAGATTTATATTTATAATTAAATGTTTCAGAGGTATTGGATTGTTCATATATTCCAAGGGCATGTCTAATAATCAATAAGAGTCATATGCAATCGAACGCCTTACAATTCTTAGAAACCTAAATCATATATTTAAAATAATTTTGTATTATTTTCTGTTGCATTGTGTACTCCAAATTGTGAAAATTTTGGATTTAATTTTTTAATTTTTTTACCTCTGTTAATGGCAGGCATAATTCAGCCTAAAAGCCGGAAGTATATTAAACATATGTAGGTATGTTAATGTTAGGTCAAATATCGCTGCGCTATAGTGTGCTACCAGCTCCTTTATTAGACATCCTAGAGATTTCATACCATGGACTATTAGTATAAAGAGGTATATTAATATTTTTAGAAAAATAACGTATTCGAATTTGTCATGCTAATTAACTATAATTTAAGTAAAATCGATGTTTTTTCAATTCAATTGCTATCTAGCGTGTTATCTTGACTTGGCAAAGGGATGGTAAAAAGTGGTTGAACGTCCTTGGGTATCAAAACACATACATTATGTATGGCCCATTCTGATACTCATAGCATCTTTCTGTTTCACCTGAAACATGCTCTGATATTATGAGGCATATTCTGTGATCTGAGCACATCAGATGGGAAGAGTTATAACTGTCAATAAGTGTGATAGTTATCATGTAATCATTTACCTAATGTCAATACATTACATAATAGGCATTGTATTTAACAGCAGATATTAGCACAGACGTGTGTACACAAGTTTAATGACCCCAATTAAATGAAATATGAGTTAGGATGAAAGATCTCAAAAATCCTCAATTTTGGGCTCTCCTGGATCGCCAAATCAAGCTCATTATATCATGGCATCTCAGGGCTGAGAAGAAATGAGATGTCATGGATTATCATGATGTGTATGGCCTGTCATGATGTGTCATTTACACATCCTATGAAGGCCGAGAGTAATTACAACACCATCTCGAAAAGAAAGCAATCGCTCGACAAATCTTGGCACTTTCTTCATTTCCGTTCCCCCGGGGAATATAGGGATTTGATTTGGACGCAACCGAGCTGTAACACATAAGTAGGTCTCTTAATTAACATCTGCCTGATATACCAAAATCACTTTATATGAAATTAACAAAAGGTACTCCACCGAGATCCCGTCACTAAAACAGTTTCCAAATCACAGTCGTTTATATTTCCCAATCTTGTAATCTCCATATTGAACATTCGTACAAAAATTGCTAATCATACTCCAGGCCAATAATAAGCTTTAAATCAGTTTCGTTATTGAAGAAAAAATTGAATCGATGAATCGATTTTGACATTTTCTGAAGTAACTTACAAATAAAGAGCACATCGACATAAATCTGCCCTTGGCTAATGTCAGTAAACTTGAAGGATCCAACTCTACTTATTGTTCTCTGTGATTAGGTCTTGCCATTCCTAAGTTCACAATCATGTTACGACTGGACTCATAATTTTCTCTCATTTCCAGCCTATCTATCACAAACAATCCACACGATCAACTTTTGCAATTGTTTAGTATAATGAATATGACCTTTCTGGAATTTTGACGTTCACTGTTTATGTCAAGCAATGGTATATTTTCATTTTGTAAATGTGGTACACACTGGAATACAAATGACATGCCGTTATCTCGAAAATAACTCATTTTATGTGTTTCTGGTTTCTACTTCATTGCAAAAACTCTAAAGACTACAATAATCACTCTTATGTTGACATTAAACTGGAAGGAAATGACAACCAAAATGTAATTGTCTTATTTCATCAGTGTCACATGTCATGCAATCCTAGGGTTTTTCGATAAAACCATGCATTTGTTTCCACAATGAATATATTTAATATTCAAAGAAGACCTGCTCTTTTTAGTGAATTTCTGGTCGATGAATATTATGGAAAGAAAATTTGAACTTGGGTGTCCAGTGACCGGTATTTTTTCCTTCTTGCTGAAGCACAGCGGTTAAAGTTACCATTTGCATTCGTTCGACTTCGCTTCTTAAAAGAGAGTTTCGTCTAAGTTTATAACTAGACTCTACGCGCAGGGTAGGTTAAAGTTCATCAGAAAATACGTTTGGCAAATTCTTTGACAAGTTATCTCTGAAGAATTATTTTGGTCGAAGGTTAGTT